GCTCAGCAAGGATCAGGCGCTGCTGGGTGCTCCTTTGGAAAGGTCCGAACTGCTCTAATTGCCCTGGGACTCGCCAAAGATGGGTCCAGGCTCTCAGAAACTGGGGTTCAAGAGAAGGCACCTGTGATTGGAGAACCGAGACTCCTCCCTTGACTGGCCTCATAGCAAGGGCAGCAGAAGACCAACTTCTGATGAGAAGAACCCAGAACCCAGGGTTGGGGGCAGAACCCAGGGTGAGAGGACTTGAGGACGCCCGTGGGCTCACATTGCCCGCCCTTCCCCAGCTGAGCCCTCAGGAAATGCCTTACAAAGAGGTAGTAAGGGGTAGTAAGTAAATGCCTTACAAAGAGGTAGTAAGATTCAGCATCTCATGGCGGTAGTCATTGCATAGTTGTGCCAAGATGGTGGCACAGATGGTAAAGCCGTGGGAGTGGAACAGGCCTGGCAAAATCAGGAAGCCAAAGCACAACCATAGGGGGCTGGCAGAAGAGGTTTCCCCAAAGCCCAGGGTGATAACATTCCTGCCAAATCCAATGAACAGCAGCCTGCGGTCCCTGCATGACCCATGTGAGCCAGAAGAAACCGAAACGCCCAGGCGCCTGGGGGTGAACAAGGCGCTGGATGGAGCACAGAGCAAGGCCGCCCCCCTGCAACACACCCGGTGGGCCTCGTCCTTCTTCCTGCGCTCTTTGTGAGTCCACACAAGCAGAAAGGCCAACTGAGAGGAGAGGTGCAGCCCAGGGCACAAATTCTACTGTAGAAGGCGAAAGCCTGAAGCACGGATAGTGGAGACTCCCTTTCAGGAGGGGACAGCACTCCTTGGATGCAGGAAGAGTCCTTCCCACAGTCGGGCACTTTGGGAAAGGGCGGGGGCAGGCCTGTGAGGGTTTTACACAGAATTAGTTCACCAGAATCCTCCGACCCCGCCTGGGAGGTCAGAGGTCAAGGCTCTCCCCAACAGGATTAGGATCAAGTGGACCCCGAGTCGAGTCCCTGATAACAGTAGTGGCTTCCTCCACTCTGCCACCACCCTCACCCCAGGCAGATGAGTTACTGCACAGCATGACAGCACAGAGAACCCCATAAAAGGGGCTCTTCCTCAAAATGTTCCTTTCTTGAAAAGTACTAATCTGCACATTTTATGAATCAATAAATGCATTTGCCTTGCACCAAGGGGCTTTAAGACATCCCTGGATGCTAAAAGAACCTATTGAGACGGTGACCCGATGGTTCCTGAGGTCTACATGCTTGATATTCAGAAACTCAGCACCGGTTGTGATCTTCAGCCTTTATTGATGCGCTCATCTTGCAGTGACCTGTAGGCAAAGGGTGAAAATCCTGTGTTGCCCTAAAATCAGTTTCCAGGCAACAAGAACCTGCCCTCTTGATGAAGCGAGGTCAGTCAGCCCAGCCCCAGGACTGTCTCCAACTCAGAGTCCTGCCCCTTTTATCTTTTATCCTCTGTCCCTTTGGGCTCTGTCCAAATGTGTGCCTGGGTTCCCCTGGCCACACTTGCTGGCCCATGATGTCAGAGCATTCTGGGTGCTTAGTAGTTCGGCTGTCTTAGTCTGTTTTCTGTTGCTTGTAACAGAATACCTGAAGCTAGGTAATTTATAAACAAAAGGCTTTTGTTTCTTAAAATTATGGAGTCTGAGAAGTCCAAGGCCAAGGGGCTGCTGGTGGGGACTTCTTGCTGGTGGGGACTCTGCAGCATCCTGAGACAGCACAGGGCATCACGTGGCAAGGGGGCCGATGGTGCCAGCTCAGGTCTCTCTTCCTCCTCATAAAGTCACTAATGCCACTCCCATGATAACCCATTGATCCATTAACCCACTAATCCCTTAATTCATAAGCAGAGCCCTCATGACCCAAATCACCTCTTAAAGGCCCACCTCTCAACACTGCCGCATTAGGGATTAAATTTCAATATGAGTGTTAAGTCTCTTGAAGGGCTGAAACCTCATGGGGGAAACCCCTGATGGGTTTGATACTGGTTTAATGCCTGCCAAGATGCCTGGCCTAAATACCTACAGCTGCAGAGGGGAGGAGCCCAGGTCCCTCTTTAGAAAGCTGGGGAGGGCTGAGCGCAGTGGCTCACGCCTATAATCCCAGCACTTTGAGAGGCAGGTGGATCACGAGGTCAGGAATTGAAGGCCAGCCTGGCCAACTTGGTGAAACCCCGTCTCTACTAAAAATACAAAAAAATTAGCCAGGCATGGCAGCAGGCATCTGTAATCCCAGCTACTCGGGAGGCTGAGGCAGAGAATTGCTTGAACCCCAGAGGTGGAGGTTGCACTGAGCCAAGATCACAGCACTGCACTCCAGCCTGGGTGACAGAGCGAGACTCTGTCAAAGAAGAAAGAAAAGAAAGAAAAGAAAGAAAAGAAAGAAAGGAAGGAAGGAAGGAAGGAAGGAAGGAAGGAAGGAAGGAAGGAAGGAAGGAAGGAAGGGAGGGAGGGAGGAAGGAAGGAAGGAAGGAAGGAAGGAAGGAAAGCAAGCTGGGGAGAAGCCTGGATGTGTGGCTGGGTCACTCTCCCCCCGCAGTCCGTCTGTGTTGCTAAAAAGGAATGTCTGAAGCAGGTAATTTATAAAGAAAAGAGACTTATTTGGCCCATGGCTCTTCAGGCTTTCCAAGGACCATGGAGCCAGCATCTGCTTCTGCTGAGGGCCTCAGGCTGCTTCCACTCATGACAGAAGGAGACGGGGAGCTGGCACCACATGGCTAGCGAGGAGGTCCAGGCTCTTTCCAACAGTCAGTTCTCATGAGAACCAACAGTGTGAGAACTCACTTATCACCAGACGGAGAGCACCAAGCCATTCACAAAGAATCAGTACAGAGCTGAGCTCTGTCCCGATCACCTTCTGTCACATGCCCTAAAGTGGAGCATCTGTAGGGTCCTGCATGCTCTCCTCCTCTGAGGCTATGGAGAAGGTTGGCTCCTGTGTTTTAAGAAGCTGACCATGGCTGGGAATGTGGGGACATTGCCGCTTATGCGGCTGAGGAATGGCGTCTTTGCTGTAAAGGTGGAGGGTATAGAATGGAAAGGAAGGGCCTCTTGGTGGGGCAGTCTCCACACCAGGGCAGGTGTTGGGTCTGACTCTGGCCTTTCATACCCTAGGTCTGGGAAGGACTTGAGAGTAAGGACCCAGAGTAGGTGAGGGGCTCCATCCAAGGTAGACCAGTTTGGCCAGACTTTCTGTGTTGGAGCTAAGGAGTCTCAGGAGCAGGGTTTCAGGAACACCTGCTGCTGCCCGCCTGACCAGATGAACCTGATTGGCTCTTGTCTCCAGCTATGTGGCTTCAGGGAGCTGTGGCATCCATACATGTGTGCACAAAGCCCTGGAAGGCCCTAGCCACAGGTAGCATTTTACTCTATAAATCAACCTGATTTTGCAATCCCAGTTTGTTAAACACATTTTCATTTAACAAGATCAACAAGCCTGTGCTGAAAGCCTTTTGAGGGCTGACGCAGAGGTGGGACAGCCTGGGTTGGAGTCCGGGTGGATATCGTTGGGCTGAGACACAGTGGCAGTTGTATATGTGCCCATGTGTTGGGGGAAGGGTGTGTGGGGTGAGAAGAGAGCTTGCCCTTTTCAAAGGACCAGCCTTGGGTTTTGTTGATTTTTCCCTATTTTTCTATCCCCTATTTTGTTTAACTATGCTCTAATCTTTATTATGTCCTTCTGTCTTAGTCCATTTGTGCTTCTACAACAAAATACCACAGACTGCATAATTTATTTTTCAAAAATCAGAAATTTATCTTATAGTTCTGGAGGCTGAGAAGTCCAAGATCAAGGTGCCAACATCTTGTGAGGGCCTTCTTGCTATGTTATCCCATGGCACAAGGCAGAAGGGTCAAGAAAAGGGAAGAGAGAGAGCAAGACAGTGCTGAACTTGTCCTTTTGTAACGAATACACTCCCTTAATAATGGCATTAATCCACTCATGAGGACAGAGTCCTCATGGCCTAATCACTTCTTAAAGGTCTTACCTCTTACCCCTGTTACACTGGAGATTAAGTTTCCCACACATGGACATTGGAGGACACATTTAAACTATGGCATTTCCTTCTCCTAACTTTGGGTTTTGTTTTCTCTTCTTTATCCAGCTCTTTAAGGTGTAAAGTTAGGTTATTTACCTGATATCTTTTTTTTTTTTTTTTTTTTTGAGACGGAGTCTTGCTCTGTCCGCCAGGCTAGAGTGTGAGTGGCGCGATCTTGGCTCACTGCAAGCTTCCCCTCCTGGGTTCACACCATTCTCCTGCCTCAGCCTGCCGAGTAGCTGGAACTACAGGCGCCCACCACCACGCCCAGCTAATTTTTTGTATTTTTAGTAGAGATGGGGTTTCCCTACGTTAGCCAGGATGGTCTTGATCTCCTGACCTCGTGATCCGCCCGCCTCGGCCTCCCAAAGTGCTGGGATTACAGGCGTGAGCCACCGCGCCTGGCGGGTATCTCTGGTTTTTAAAGGTAAATGTTTACTCGTAAAATTTTCCCTTTGAAACTGCTTTCACTGATTCTCATAGTTTTGGTATGTTATGCTTCATTTTCATTTGTCTCATAGTATTTTCCAATTTCCCATGTTATTTTTTCTTTGACCATTGGTTAAGAGTGTTGTTTAATTCTCACATATTTGTGAATGTTCCAGTTTTCCTTCTGTTAATGTTTCCTTATATTGTGATTATAGAAAATATTGTATTACTTCAGTCTTTTAAAACTGATTGAGACTTGCTTTGTGACCTAATTTACGGTCTAATCTGGAGAGTGTTCCATGTGTGTTGGAGAATACTAGAGGATATTCTGAAGCCCTTGAGTGGAGTATGATGGCTTTGAATAATCTGAAGTTCAGTAACTAAAGAGGATGGCCAGGGCCAGGCATGGTGGCTCACGCCTGTAATCCCAGCACTTTGGGAGGCCGAGGCGGGTGGATCGCCTGAGGTCAGGAGTTCCAAACCAAAATACCAAAACACAATAGAGGATGGCCTGAGGGAGCACAAGTCCCTAAAACGCAAAGCTCCCTGCACTGCGCCGAGAGGGCCGCAAGAGGGCGCGCGAACCCGCCCTGGCGGACTTGCCAGCGCGCAAGCGTGTTTCGCCTGCGGACTGCCTTGTGTGCAATGAGGCAGAGCGCTGGGTTCCCTCAGGACCCGGGGGAGGCGTGGTGGCGGCTTCGTGACAACCTGGGGCGGAGACCTCCGTGAGGCAACAGCCTGTTCGGGCCCTGACAGCTGTGGAGGGAGCTGTTCCCCGGCTTCTCCAGGGACATTTTTCTGGGCTTTCTGCATGGTGCGTGGGTTTCTGCCTCACTCGCGTGCGGTGCCCGGCAGGGCCCCAAGCCAGTTCCCTCCCGCAGGGAGCGGGAACGCCCGGTGTCCTCGCGCGAGGTGGCGGCTTCTGGGAGAAGTCCCCAGACCCTCCCAGGAGGAGGAAGCGCTGTCGGCGGGAAGGGGTGGGCGGAATCCCAGGCCGCTCCGTCCCTGTGAGCCCGACGGGACCGCGAGACGGGCGTTCCCCTCCCGTGGACCGGCCTCTATGAAGCCTTTAAGGTTCGTTTTTGCTGCAACGTGAAAGTAGTTTAAAAACATAAGAAACTGTAAAGTGAGTATGTTAAAACTCACATCATTTTAACTTTAAATAGTTTGTACCCAAGGAAAGTTTGAATACATTTGCCTTCCTGGCTTTAATGAAAGCAAACTTATCAATAACATCGTTAAAATACACTTCTTAGCTTATCTCATTTTCATTTGAACATGTCCAACAATTCCTCATGGCACAGTGACAGTCTTAAATAGCTGTCAATTAATTTCAGCTTACAAAAACTTCTTTTGCGGGACCCCCATTATGACTGGTATCGCTAAAAATTATGTATCAGAACATGTTGGGAAGCAGAGGGAGAAAATATATATCAGATCCACTTCCACATTTGGGAAAGAACTAAGCAAAATGTGTTCGTCAGTTTTGGACATTGAGACATTATTGTTTGGTTTGGTTTTTAAAATGCCAACTATTGTATCATCTGAAAAATTGACATTTAAACTGGCACTGAGCAGTGTGAGTGCGGGGTGGGAATACTGTCTGGGTGCTGGTGTGGAAGTGAATGATGATTGTGGCGCTCCGTGTAGAGATCACAGCTATGCTTGACGGTGGTTTTGAGAGGCCATGTCAGAGATTCATGACTGGGTACTAGTGGAGCCATTATCTGAAGGTGGAGATAAGAGGACATGTAACTTTTTATTCGGGGAGGAAGTTGAGGGCCTCAGTTTGAAATGTATTACATCTTAAGTGCCTATAACACGCACAGACTGTGCCTCAAATGAAATCTAGATGGAGCTTTCAGATGCCATCATCATCAAGATAATGATAGGAGAAATTGCTGCAGCAACTGAAGACAGGCAGGAGGTTTCCAAGGCAGCTATAGTGAAAGGGGCACACAGGGACAGGAACTGGGTCTCAGAATGTTCCCTGATACTGTTCAGGGGGGCTTTGCACAGGACACCAGCAAGGAGTGTTCGTAGACAGGGTTGAAGACAGCCTGAGATGTCAGAGGAGTCTGGCAAAAGAATGATCTCAAAAGGAGGCCGTGGTCAAATTAGTCTTTTTGTTTGTTTGTTTTTGAGATGGGCTCTTGCTCTGTCGCCCGGGCTAGAGTATGGTGGCGGGATCTCAGCTCACTGCAACTCCACCTCCCAGGTTCAAGTGATTCTTCTGCCTCAGCCTCCCGAGTAACTGGGACTACAGGTATGCACCACCACACCCGGCTAATTTTTGTATTTTTAGTAGAGACTCTATTTCACCATATTGGCCAGGCTGGTCTCAAACTCCTGACCTCGTGATCCCCCCGCCTTGGCCTCCCAAAGTGCTGGGACTACATGCATGAGCCACCGCATCCAGCCTAGTCTTCGTTTCTAATTAAGATGAAGCAAGAGAAACAGTGAGTGGATTTATTTTTCACACTCAGGGACAGTTCAATAACTAAGCAGATGAAGCTGAGGAAAACAAAAAACAAAAAACCGTGCAATACCATCTTTTTTCAGGTACACCAGTCATGAACCCCCCGACATTCACCTGAGAGTGACCCTATCCCATCTCCACCCATGTGCACATGCAGAGCAATCTCACACACACAGTGGGGCTGAGGGAGGGGGCTCCCTTCCCAGGGTCAAAGGTGAGAAGGCTCCCGCCACTGCTGCTCACATGGAGGTAGTCACATAGTCAGTTTACAGATAATGAAATGAAAGTCAGAGGGTTTATACTCTCATTAGACCTTGTGTCCAGAGGTATTAATTTCATTCCTCCTCTGACACCAAATCCTAGGAACCCCTCAGAGTGGTCACATGGGGATTCCTGACTCCACAACTGCAGATACCATCTGGAATTTCTCATTTGCTTATTCTTGTTTAGGTGCATGAGCACTGGTTCTCCAACACCCATCCAGTCCTTTAGAGTCTCCCACCCCTCCCTGCAGTACCCACGCCCCACCCTCTGTGTAACCTGCCTTCAGTCATCTTGGCCCCTCCACCTCTGGGATTCAGGCAGCATCAGCACCTCCATCCTAGCTATGCCCCATATGGCCTTGGACACTTGGCCAGGCAACACTGGAATCTGTTATTGGTGGGATGGAACAGTGTCATGACTCATTCCATGTTGCACATTCAGCAATTCTCATGACATAAATCTAGCACATAAGAGAAGCAGGGGCGCCTATGTCATTATGCTGCTGTTGTGACCCACAAGGCCCATAGGGGAGACAGGCTTATAAAATCAGAGTTTAGGGAAGGTTGGTTGACTCACTATGTTCTGGTGAGATGGTAGCTGGACTTCTGCATAGTAACAAGCAGCCACAGCAATATCCCTGTATCTCATAACACACACAGATGAAAATGTGTGAACTGTAGAGGACCACCTAAAACAATAAAGACATTGCATGGACAAATAATGACAATGTGTCAGGAACAGAGGCAGCATTATGACCGTTTCACCCTCAAGTCCTAAAAAGAGAAAAAAGTCTAGTAGTATTCATTGAGACCCTACCTAAGGTCTCAATGTAATCAACAGTGTATATAAAATGAGATTTACATGCATTTGCTTACTGAATCCTACCCAGTTGTTTATGGATTGGTTCCTCATGACAAGTAATGTGACCAAACTAGCTCTGCAATAATGTATGATCCAGGATGTTAAGAAGAGATTATAGACATCCTAATTTCACCATTGGATTGGAGATAGAAACAATTTTCTTTCTTTTCTATAGAGATGGGGTCTTTCTATGTTGCCCAGGCTAGTCTGGAACTCTGGGCTCAATAACAAAATTAAATGCCTAAAAAATAAACAAGGTTGAAACTGAAACTAGCTCTGTTCTCTCTGAATCTCAGATTCCTAACCATGCTCATCTTGAGGGGTAGGTGCCAGAGCCAGCTCTTACCAGGATATTTCCCCTCTCAGATGAATGGTTATAAAGACTGCCTCTTCCCACAGCCCGGCTTCTTTCAGCCTGTTCACACAATTACTCCCCAAGCCCACTTTCTCCCACCACAGGGGGACCTCCAGTGCTTTGACCCCACATCCCAAACACCAGTCCCCACCTCTCCTTATTTTCAGTGCACAGCTTCACTGACACTCATTTCAGCACATACAGGGCAGAGCCAACAATTCTAATGTTCTTTCTTCACAGGGAAAGGTCAAGCTGTTCAAGCCCAACCCCAGATGACTCCAAATATCTCCCCTCCCCAAGGCTGCATCTGTCAGAGCACATGATTAGGTTACTGACCCAGTCTAATTACAGTGTTAACTAAATTCCCAATGGCTGTTTCTAAATAAATATAAATATGTGGCATCCTACTATGCCTTGATAATCGAACCATCTTTCCATGATTCATAAATATTTCAGACTGTCCCCATGCTTTTTAAATCTCACAAATCCTCTCCTTTCCCCCTCATTTTCCACAATTGGGTTCACCTCATACTTCCCAGATAATTTATTTATTTATTTATTTATTTATTTTTGGAGACACAGTCTCACTCTATTGCCCAAGCTGGAGTGCAGTGGTGCGATCTCAGCTCACTGCAACCTTTGTCTCCCGGGTTCAAGCGATTCTCCTGCTACATTTGCTTACTTAATCCTACCCAGTAACCCTGGGTTGGTACTCAGCCTGCCGAGTAGCTAGGATTACAGACATGCACCACCACACCCGGCTACTTTTGTATTTGTAGTAGAGACAGGATTTCACCATGTTGGCCAGGCTGGTCTCAAACTCCTGAACTCAAGTGATCCACCTACCTCAACCTCCCAAAGTGCTGAGATTACAGGTGTGAGCTACCACGCCTGGCACTACCCAGATATTTTAATCCAATGAGTATTTTAAGTCATTTTCTTTGGACTAAAACACAATTGGAACGTGACCTCTTTGGGGGAATTTTGTTTTTCCTAGGCTTCTCTGACATCTCAGCTGTGGAAACATAGAGTTGTTTGACTTTCACTTTTCTACATAAACCACTTCCTCTACTGAGTACCGTGAAACTGTCTGCCCTTTTTTGCCCCATGTCAAACCCCATGGAAAAGTGCACTTACTTGTACAACTTCAACTTCCTCTTTGCAAATGGCGGCATGTGCTGCCCTGGAATCTCTGCTTCAGTTCACTCTCGGTTATAACCCCAGAAGATGGCTGTAGTGTCAGCTGTGATTTTCTCTCTTTGTACTAATTGGAGTCTGTCCACACTTGTGTTCTTCAGAAGTCAGGCAAAGAGATGCTGAGACATTGTGCATGTCCCCTCTCTGACTCTTGCCCTCTGGGATCCTATTGGGACGTTTTAGTGTCTATAGGGGCACAAGGGACTCACCTGATTGTGGCAGGGGCATGCAGGGCAGAGAGTGCTCAGGAATTATGAGCCGGGATTTTCCCATCTGTGTGGCGCTGACAGGCAGAGCAACTGCAATTTCCAGCCCAAACTAACAACACTGATCATATACCCATAGATAAGTAATGCATTTTATATTTATATCTTTTTTTTTTTTTTTTTTGAGACGGAGTCTCACTCTGTCGCCCAGGCTGGAGTGCAGTGGCGGGATCTCAGCTCACTGCAAGCTCCGCCTCCCGGGTTCACGCCATTCTCCTACCTCAGCCTCCTGAGTAGCTGGGACTACAGGCGCCCGCCACCTCGCCCGGCTAGTTTTTGTATTTTTAGTAGAGACGGGGTTTCACCGTGTTAGCCAGGATTGTCTTGATCTCCTGACCTCGTGATCCACCCGTCTCAGCCTCCCAAAGTGCTGGGATTACAGGCTTGAGCCACCGCGCCTGGCCAAGACCATCAGCAGCTGCTAACACATAAAAGGCCTCAGTTTGATGGTGTCGTCTTTGGTGGTATATACCAGCAATATGAAATGACATTGCTGAAAATATTTTAAAAAATCAAAATCTCAGCCGGGTGCAGTAACTCATGTCTGTAATCCCAGCACTTTGTGAAGGCAAGACGGAGCAGGTCATTTGAGCAGGAGTTCAAGACCAGTCTAGGCAACATAGGAAGACCCCATCTCTACAAAAA